ATTAAAAGAAATTAAATAGACAGTGAAACCATGGCGCAACTTAAAAAGAGCTGACCAAGTCAAAATTTCTCGACTTCGATTAGGTCATACCAATATTACTCATAAGCACCTAATAAGTAAAGAAGACGTCAAGTGTGTGATTACTGTCAAGTCAATATTACTGTTAAACATATACTAACAGAATGTGGAAAATATACAGTTAACAGACAAAATAACAATATTTCCAGTGACTTAAAAACAGTATTAGGTGAACATTTAAATACTAAAAACTTAATTAGATTTCTAAAAGAAACATCTTTATATAATTTATTATAATGTATTAACTAATGTAAACTAATGTCGCTAATGACCCAGGTGGTCGAAGCGACTATTATTAGTAAATAAAAAAAAATAAATAAAACAAGAAAACCTTCTTTTCATAAAAAAAATGATAAATTATAGATTTATATTTAATACAAATCAAATTTTTCCTTTGTTGAAAAATTGTTATAAATAAACATAACATAGTTAACTTTGGGTAATCTTTTTGTTGTAATGTTGCAGCAATATATTATTTTGTCCAAAGAAAGAATCAGCTTATGGGTAAGAAATAAACAATGTGTTTAGAACATTAAAGTTTAGACATTAATTTGTCAAGTATATTATAAGTAAATCCTGTCAAGTATATCAATTTGATAATGGTTATTTTAAAATGACTTGTGCCATATAAAATGAAAATAGACTCGGTTTTTTTAATTCAATTTTTAATCTATTGAAAAATAAAAGTACGTAAATAAATTAAAAGAAGAAACGTCGAAATCCACAAACAAGAACCACAGATACAGTTAACAGCTCCTTCTTCACTTCCTTACTTCCGCGAATTTCAAAGCCTGCCTATTTTGCGGACATATTTTAAAGGTTTGTAGAGGATTTCACAAAAAAAATCTTTTTCGAATTTTGCACATCAAAACTTTGTTCGTTCTTTCAAATGACGCTAACTAGATCTCTTAATTGTCATAGGCAAAGCTGCCACCAATTAAACAAAGAGGACTAACTTCGTTTGAAATTGTGCTAGGATACATTTTTGTCTATTTACATTTGTACCAATCTAGACTTCCAAAATATAAAAAATAACTTTCCCGCAGGTTGGTTACCTAAAGACAAAAAGACAAAAAGTTTTTGTAATTGTTTTTAAGCAGAAAATGAATGTGTTTTGCAAAATAATTTTGCCATATTTAAAATCATTTTTTTTTTATAAGCTATCCGTATAATTATTACAGTAGCTTTATTATTTTCTGACTTTCAAAAAAATAAAATTTTGGATAAACGAATAAAATAACTTTTAAAATATTTGAATAAACGCTTGGAAATATTATTATCGTAATATGAAGAATGTAAGTTCATTTGTAAAAAGGTTATTAAGATTTATAAAAAACCGAAATTTCTTCGACTTATTTTGCTTTTCAAGTAACAAACAAGAAAAAAGTATTTTAAAACCGCAATTTTGAAGATTTTTATATGAGTTATCAGTTCGTTGCTCTGAAGTTTGTTTTAATTGATGCTTTAATTTTATATAATTATATATAATATTAAGTAAAAAAATCGGGTGCAGGAAACATAAACATATTATATCGTTTTTTACAGAGGTCTATACTACTTAAGACATCGTTTGTCTGGATGGTTCCAATTTCCCGGTTTATACCTGATGTGTTCTCAATAAAGACGAAACATGTAATGTATTATAAAAAATGACAGACAAGATACATAAGTAGAAAATAATTAGGTATCATATCCAATATTTTACAAAATAAATGTTAATTGTCCACGTAGGCAGCTTGCTGTACTTATTGGAGTTAAGTAAAAAATATATAAAACAAACGATATACACAACAAATATTACTAATATGCCGGTATACACAAACGTTTTATTACTTATAAAAAATTTAGATTGAGAAGATAGATACCATTTCGTCAGTATATAGTACTACTGAAATAAATAAACAGATCATATATCGACGGTCTCATTCTAATACCCCGTAAGTGATTTAACCGTAAGTTTACAGGAGAAACATTTTTCTGTTTCTATAAGTTAATACAGGTCCAAATTCAAAATAATTTTTAATTTTACTTATTTGTGTTGTACTGAAGGTCAACCATCCTTTGTTGTTAATTTTTTTATATATTTATTATTATACAGCAGATACGGGCTATTGAAAGTGATTAGGTACAAAAAAAATGAGATACAGGCTATTGCAGTGATCAATTGAAATTGGTTAAATGGGTAGTATTATGAACTTACTAAAATAATAGATGTTTAATAATGGGGCTGAAACTGATAAATAAACTAACAAATAAATAAACAATGTTTTTAATTATTAATAAAAAATAATAATAATAATAATATAAAAATTCCACAGTGAAAGTATAATGGATAAAAGAAAAAATTGCAACCAGTTAAACAAAAAATTAATATCTAATAATACTTATAAACTGAACTATTTCCAAATTTATGGGGAGTGGGGTAAATTGTCGTAAAATACATGACAATCCCGAGGTAAAATAGACTTAATTTCTTGCAAATGTTGCCACTTTTTTTATTTGAAGCGAAGTCGATCTGTATGTAGTGAGTCATAGATAAAACTTTTGGGATACTTTGGAGATCTGGCTGGTAGTGGTTATAGTTCATGACTAAAATCAATCTTATATTGAATATTTTTTTCGCGGTGGTCATATTTTATGTGTCTCAAATCCATGACAGTGGGATCATTTGATTTCTTGCCTGGACGAATGCTCTTGTAAATCCATGATTTTAAGAAATCCTTGAAAAACTCATGAGTTACAACGAGAGCTTCCAAGGGCATTGGCTTTTTCCTTGCTTTTTTTGTGAGTCGTACATAATCACTTAGCAGTACAATGAACGAGTTTTTCAATCTTCGTTCTATCACGGAGTGGACAGAGTTACACTCCATTTGAGTGTGCCCTTTTTTTAAATATTTTTGCTCTATCGTGACACCTTTCTAAATTGAATAATTTGGCACGGCGTTAGACAGCACACAATTCCTATTTTGGTAACATCATCCATCAGAATATAAAACTATCGGTATGTCTTTGACGCACTACTCTTGAATAAAGTTTAATATAAAAGTTGTAAAGCTGGAAGCAGATAAATCACCTTCTGACTTATCCCACCAGTAATTTGTACATTCGTGCAATGCCAAATTATAAATTGTAAAATTATGCACAGCTAGTGTTGTTTTGTAATAAAGCTTATTTGCGTTAATAACTGAACATATTTTAACTGCTTGCATGTCCATGCAAACAGCGTAGATAGAACCTTGAATGGCTAGTTGCTTGTCTACGTCTTTTTCTTTTCTTGCTGCATTTTTTCTCAATATATCGCATCGATCTTTACGTGGTTTGTACAGTGAGATATTCATGTCAGAAAAAATGTTATCAATGAATGTATTGCTGACTATCAAATTAACTTTCATGTTATCTTCGCAATATTTTCTATACTCTCGATATATATCCTGTTTGGTCTAAAAGAACTGCTCCAAATACAACTTTGATTTTTCTTTTCTACAATAGTGTAAAGGCACCTTCGCTAAGTTGTTAAAAAATTCAATTAAATTTTCTCGTTTTAATTTGTTACTATTTGAAATGCATCTTTGGTTAACGGTAGACGAGAATGAATTAAACCCGTGTTCCATTCCTTTTAACGAATCGTGTACCATATCTTCTTTGAGACCAAGTGTGCTCAAATACATCTTTTTGCATGCTTTGAATTTGACATTGTCGTTATTTTTTAAATAGTAGTAATAAGTGCCTTGTCTTCCAGATCCTTGCGAGAATTCTCTTTGCGGTCTTAACATTCCTATTTTGACGTCATCAGTACTGCATCTTTGATATCCGATGCACATTCGCACATTCTTTTATTTTTTGTTACACTTCTTTTCCAATTTCCTGGGTTGAACGCTTTTCTTCTTTTTTTATTAACGGAAGACTTGGTCACTGCATTTTCACTTTCATTTTTATTTACTTCTAAGTGACAGTGTCCTTCAGTATCTTCTATTTCATTTAGGTCATCTGCAACAACTAAAGACAAAATAAGCTTAAATTTTTACATAATAAAATTGTATCTGTGCTTGGTCATGTAAGATATTTTGATCATTGTAAAATACAGGATGTACCACACTGTAAGTTTTTTCGCCCACATTATCTGTCATAAGCTCCTGACAAAAATCATCTTGAACATGGAGAACCAAGTAATCCATATGGCTATTATTATTACTATTTGTCGGATTATCTAATGATTTATGTATAAAAAGATGTGTTTCTGTCTAGTTCACTATCATTTTGTAGATTGCAGTTAATGTTGTAATTTATAGATAAAACATCTTGTTTCAGTTTCAGTGTTCATAGTCATCATAACTAATTTTTTCCACGTGATATTCTTTGATTCTGAAAATAAAAAAACAGCATGTAAATAACCTGTAACACACAATAATTTATAAAGGGGTTTAAGTAATAACCTGTATCATCTTTAATTGAAGAAATGTTATATTTTCTTATTAGTATTAAACAATTTCTTGGTGCTTTTGCATTAAATCACCTTTAAAAACACACAAAAAGCAGTTACTTACCATAAATGATGCCATCGTCAAGGAAAAATCACGTTTTTACACCAACTTGACCCTAACCTAACAACATGCATAAGAAACTAATAGGATACGGGTTATTACACGGCGCCAAATGGCTGTAGTAGATACAGCATATTAGAAACATGAGATTCGAAGACCTTGCAATTTTATTTCAGATTCGGGATTTTCTTAACAGATAGAACATTCCTTTTTTATCATTATGGCGCGAAAACCTAAAATTTGATTTTTTTGTAGATTAGGTATTAGAATGGGACCGTCGATATCATTAATTTAAACGTATGTTATTAAGTTATTATGTTATTAAGATATAATTTGTTATTAATTCCTCTTATTTGCAATCTAATTATTTTTTAAACTTACCACTACAGTCAGAGCGACAAAAAGGACGATTTGTTTCATGGTAATGGATTAGCAAAAAGTAGGCTTATCTTATGTGTAGTATGTCAAAAGTGTATCTTATAACCGACTTAGATGACACTATATTTTTTACTATTTTAATAATTATATCAACTCACTATTTAAAAACACTTTTATCAATTAAGTGAACCAAATTAATAACTAAAAACAAATTTTTAGGAACCTAACAGTAATTAATTTAACCTTTAATTTAACTAATAAAAACTAGTAAACTATCGCAGATATCATTTTCCAGTTACTCGTCATATAAAATGATTAGAATAAATTAAAAAATAATTGAAAAATTAAAAAACATATGCATAAAAAAGACGAGCATGTTATATAATCCATAAACACATCTCACGTTAAACTACTTTTTTTACCACAAAATTTAAATGTTGGGTATGGCTTGACATTTGTGGGATTCTATTTCCCTATTTATATCAACGATGAAATATTTTGTTATATAATATAACATAATATAACATAAAGTGTAAAAAATACTAATCTGGTACTAAAAATACTAATAATAATTTGGTAATTTTTGACATTTACGGAGAACACTCCAAAAGATTTATTTATTTTTTTATTCGTTGATATTTTGATAGAATTCATTTATTCATTCAATGAAATTCGTAAGAATATGACGACAACGATAATGTCTTCTCTTTTCTTACTCAATATTATCCGCAGAAAAATCAAATAACTGGTAAAGATTAATTATGCATTTTAAAGTTTCCCTCGAATTTTTAGAGATTTTAAAAGTCATAAATAGTCACACACCAATGTTAAATAAACATACCCATTGTTTGATCAATCCTGACTAATTATTATATTTAAAAAGTGAACACTACCATAAAATTGTAGCCTAAGGTGTAACGGTATTGGTTTATAGTACATTTAAAAAACTCTGAGTACACATTTTATTAATAATAAAGTAATCCATTAACACAGTATCCCAAAAACAAAGTAAATTAATTCTATAAGCCATTTATTAACACTTATTTTTGTCATCAAGGGCAATCATCAAATCCTAAAGCGGAACAGGTCCGTATTTAGGATACACAAATGATGCATAAAAATGGAATTTGGCGGTATTAAAGAACCAACATATTCGTTCAAACTACAAGCACGAGTTTTTTAGTCTCTTAAGGGTCAAATAAAAAGAATAATTGTTTTTAATTACTCCAAAACATATTATTTTTTAATCAAGAATTTCCAACAACACAGATCTTTTACCAACAATGAATAATTCGTCGATGATTGACTACACTTACGCAGACTAATTAGTCCAAGTAAAGACAGACTCTTAATACCCAATGTATCTCTCAATATCCTGCCTAAGATAACACAAAAAATCTTAAACCTTTAGGGCTAAAATGAACTTCATCAATGTCATGTTTGCCCGTTGAATAAAAAATCGGAAAAAGAAACAAACAATGCGGAATACAAACATTCTTAGTATTTGTGGATATATCTTCATACCCCCACCCACAACACTAAATAATGTATGTTTCCGTTAAAAACAACATAGTTGCTCAAAAAACAATCTTAACAAAAGCTCCTTAAAAAACTCCTATACAGCTCTCATAACTGCTAATTTTTCATACACAAATGGAACCACATACAGTTTGTTTAGCAACAATGTCAATTCATATTGTGTCAAGAGCATGTGCCTCTACAAATATATTAAACATTTTACGATCAATAACATCATCCACCTCCCATTTAACAAAATACAATACATCAGCTACAGTTAATGCAAAATCAGTGACATTTAAAACAAATATATTCACATCACCAACTCTATTATCTTAAACAATTATAAGTCAGCACCCTTCATCTTTCAATCTATACGATAAATTAAGCTTATTTAGTAGAAATAGAGACTATCAAGAACCATAAGAATTTGATCTATTTAACGAGAAGGATAAATCAAAATCCTCCATTAAGCTATCTTTCTGAAGCAATACCTCGCCTATTGAGACATCAGCTAGAAACATTGTATTTTTAAAACCAATCCAGAAACAAAAAAAAAACAGTAAAAGTGACAAAAATAGACAATACTCTTTAAAACCCCAATTGAACCAATTGAAGAACTGTTCGATTCCAAAAAATAAAAAAATGGCTTTCAAGGAAACAGTTTTCAAAAAAAGATATTATTAGTTTTATAAACAAATATACCTTAAATACCGTAGCATTTATAAAAATCTTATCCAAAATCCATTCATTCTACAATTGCAAATTAAAATAGAAATGTACAAAGTTATTATGAAACAAAAGGAAGACTGGATCGATCGACCTCTGAAGTCAAACGAGGTTTAAAACAAGCTCCACATAAATCCAGTTTTTAGGTGTTAAAAAAGCATCAAACTAATTACAGTTTTACTTAAAAAGTGAATCTAAGTGATTTTTCTCACCACAAGTATAAAATCTGTGAGTACAAATATTTATTTAATCTAAATAATTAACATTTAAGTTAAATCCACGTAAACAAGAATCAATTTTGGTTATAAAGCAACAACTTTTTACTGCTACCGTTTATCAGTTCTGATATCGAGGGGACAGGACCGGACTGGGTTTTTGAGAATTATCGATGATAATAATTAAAAATGGATAATTTTCCGCCTCTTGGGGCCCCTGAACAAGAACTGGAGCAAAGTTCATCAAATACAAATATGAAACAATCTTTTGCAACTGTCACAAATCAAAATGTACCTAAATTTCCATCCAAAACACAAGCAATAGTTTTTCCTGCGTTGGAAAATACAAAGTTGGAAGACTATCTATTTGCAGTTGGTGATTTAATGCATCCAAAAAATATTCTCTTCTCCTCTAGAATGTCAAATGGTCGAATTTGCATTTATCTAACAAGCGAAACTTTAGTTAACAATTTTCTACAAATTAACAAAGGGATAATAACTGTAAACCATCAAAAAATTTAGGCTCGTAAATTAATGTCACCAAATGAAAGATTATTGATATCAAATGTTTGTCCTTCAATCCCACATTCAATTATTGAAAATGCACTTTCTAATTTGGGATTAACTTTGGTAACTCCAATAAATTTTTTAAAAATTGGTACATCAAATCCTAATTACAAACACATTTTCAGTTCCAGAAGGCATACTTTTATTTCTCCCCAGTCTCATCAATACCCGACTCAATAATTGTGAATTACGAAATGACATCATATCGTATATTTCTTGTAATGGAGAAGGATCTATGTACTAATTGTAGGCAAGCGGGACATTCGGCTGGAAACTGCCCAACTACTAAAGAAACTCAAACATCTCAAGCACAAAATGCTGCTCCAACTACTTCAACTGATCCAATAGACAATGAATACATTCCCCTAACGCAAAACATATCTTCCTCGGCTCCTATACTATCGACTAAACCGGATATCCATATTTTACCATCTACTCATGTTAAAGAAAGCACTGATTTTCAACAAATGTCCCACGATCCTCCCTCAAACAAACGAAATCGTTCTGAAATTATAACCCCTCCACCAAATGATACTCCAGTAAATAACCCCTTTCCAGACCCTAAATTAAAAAAGCCAAAGTCTTCAATCACAAACATAGGAACCATTAAAGTAACTGACGATATAAAAAATTCAGCTAGACGAATATATGAAGATACTTCAGTAAACCATTCAATATCTTATGAAACATTAGTAGATATACTGGAAAATGCTCATGGTACTCCTGACCCAGTAAGCTTAATAAAAACGTATACAAATGATCTAGAAAACCTATTGAAACTTTTAAATCAACTACATGAGAATTTATCAAATAGGAAATCAAAAAATAGATGCACTAGACTTCGAAACAAAATACTTAAATCCATACAATCAGAAACTAACACCGAATCCGATAACGAAATTGTAAAAGATATATTATAATGGCTTTCTCAATTATCCAGTGGAACCTACGAGGATATTACACTCGCCTTGAGATATTACAACAAATGATTAAAAAACTTACTCCATCCATACTTTGTTTAGAGGAAACTCATTTTAAAAATACTAAAGTTCATAATTTAAAACACTACACATGCACATATAAAAATAGAGAAAATGTAGACCATGCTAGTGGTGGCGTAGCAATTTACACTCATTCATCCTTCGATGTAGACATTCTTCAAATCAATACACAACTTGAAGCGGTCGCAATTACTATCAAAGGGCCTGTAAAAATGAACATCTGTAATATATACATTCCACCTACACAAAACCCAAGCAATAATGAAATCTCAGACTTGATTAAACAAATACCTTCACCTCGTCTAATAGTTGGAGATTTTAATGCACATAATTACATATGGGGATCAAAAATAATTACTCCATTAGGTGGTAGAATCGAAATAATGTTGGACAATTTTCAGTTAAACCTACTAAACGATGGAAGAAATACTCATTTTGACATTTCTACTGGTAAATCCTCTGCCATAGACCTTTCAATATGTGATCCAGCATTATCAGCTACCTTATCTTGGGATGTACTTTCTGATTTAAATGATAGTGACCATTTTCCGATTGTAATAACAAATCCTGACAGTATACAATACTCTTGTAATGTTGAAAAATGGAATATCAAAAATGCAAATTGGCAAGAGTATTATAATCTAGTTTTAAATGAAATGAATGCAGTACATGAAATTTTACAATCAAATAATAATATTGATAGTCAAATTCAAGAGTTTTCCAATGTATTATTGAATGCTGCCGAAAAAGCCGTTGGTAAAATGAATCCTAAACAATTAAATTCGTCAGTCCCTTGGTGGAATTCTGAATGTCAAGAAGCTATTAAACTTTCAAAAACAGCATTAAATCGATTCAGGAAATATAATACACTTGAAAATAAATTAGAATTCAAACGACTAAAAGCACGAGCTAGATTTATAATTAAAAGAAGTAAACGTGAATCATGGAAAAAGTTTGTTTCAGAATTAAATTCATCTACACCAATTAATAAAGTATGGCAAATGGTACGAAAGATATCCGGGAAAAATACCCCAAACCACATTAACTTCTTAGAAGAAAAACAAAAAATATACACTTTCCCTCTAGACATAGCTAATATTCTAGCTAATAGTTTTGAAAGATTCTCAAGTGATAATG